TCAAGGCTGCCCCACCTACTAACTATAATGGCCACTGAAAAAATCACTTGACCTTTCAGTACCCCCCACGCCCCTTTTTAAATTGAGGGAAATTCACACAACATAAAATTAACCATTTTAAAGTGAACAATTTAGTAGCATTCCATATATTCACAATATTGTGTAACTACCACTTGGAACTCTCTAGTTCCAAAACATTTCATTACCCAAAAATAAAACCCTGCAGCCTTTAAGCAGTTACTATCTCCAACTCCTGGCAACCACCAATCATCTTCTGCCTCTGTGCATTTACCTACTATGGATATTTCATATAATTGGAACCATACAATATGTGACTTTCATGTCTGACTTCTCAGTATAATGTTTTCAAGGTTTGTCCATGTTGTAGCATGTGTCAGGATTCCATTCCTCTTTATGGATGAGTAAGGAACTCTGGTAGCGTAGTGCCTAAGGCACTTGACTGCTAACCAGAAGGCTGGCGGTTCAAACCCACCAGCCACTCCTCGGAAGGAAGATGGGGCAATCTACTTCCGTAGTGATACTGCCTCGGAAACCCAAGGAGGGGTCGCTATGAGTCGGGCCCGACTCCACGGCACATAACAACAACAACAACAACAATATTCCACTGTCTGATGTATTACCACATTTCGTTTATTCATTCATTATTCGTTGGGCATGTGGGTTGTTTCCACCGTTTGACAAGAGTGAATAGTGCTGCAGAGAATGCAGGTACTTGTTGGAGTACCTGTTTTCAGTTCTGGGAGTGAAATGGTGGCATCATATGGTAATTCTGAGGAGCCCTGGTGGTACAGTGGTTAAGGGCTCAGCTAACCCAAAGGTCAAGTGGTTTAAACCCACCAGCTACTCCATGAGAGAAAGATGTAGCAGTCCACTTCTGTAAAGATTTACGGCATTGGAAACCCTGTGGGGCAGTTCTACTCTGTCTTATAAGGTTGCTATGAGTCAAATCAATCCCATGGCAATGGGTTCATGGTAATTCTATGTTCAACTTTTTGAGAAACTGCCAAACTATTGTCCACAGGGGCTGAACCATTTTACAGTCCCACCAGCAATGGATGAGAATTCCAGTTTCTCCACATCCTCAACAACACTTGTTTTTCTGGTTGTTTTTTGTTTATTCATTTGTTTTATTGTAGCCATCTTAGTGATGTGAAGTGTTACCTCACTGTAGCTATACACCTGTTTGTGTCTCTACAAAGTAAAGTTAATACAATCTGACCTTCTTACTTTCTCACCTTAGCCCTCATTGTCACTGTGGGTGACACTCAACCTTTCTGTTTCAGGATTCAAGGGAGTATGTGTATTTTAAAGTGCTTTGTAAATACTGTGTGTGCTAATAGAATGATAAGAGAAAAGTTTACTATTGTTATAAGTCTCCTGAGTCCTAGAAGCATGTGTGTGAGCCTCTAGATGAGGATGCGTGTAGGGCAAGGGCTATTATTGAGATGTGTTGAAAGCATCTCAAATAGGCATATATAGGTGCACATAGTGTACACAATGTCATCTGCTAAGTCTGAAAGATGGATCGTGCATGTCCTCAAATGTTCTGTTGAAAATTGACAATGTCTGGAACATGTTTCTTTGGATAAGGGCTAACTGCAGTTGAGCAGGGGGAGGCCAAGAGCCAGTGGCAATTACCCAATAAGTAAGGTAAGCCCAGGCTTCCTTGTGTTTACTTACTAATCTGTAGTGAACAATTTCATATTTTTTCACATCAAAGATTCTGCTTTTAGGTATGGTTGGCATGTGTCTCTCTCTTAACTCCACAGCACCTTCCTACAGAATCAAAGCTTCTTCTCATATTTGCAGTCCTTGATAGGGATAGAGTACCCAGTAAGCAAGGTAAGCACAGGCTTCCTTGTGCATACTCATTAACCTGCAGTGAACAGTTTTATGTGTTTTTCACCACATAAAGATCTGCTGAAACGCATGTGAAATTATTCACAACAGATTGGTAAGTAAGCACAACAGGTTAGTGAGTTAAGCCTGTGCTTCTTTTGCTTATTGGTAATCCACCCTACCGAGAGCATACTTCCTCAGCATAGGGAATTGTGAACAATGACCATTCATTAATCCCAATCAAGATCAGTCACTAACTTTGACTGGAATTACATAAAAAAAGGAGTCTGTGGGCAGCAGTGCAGAGGTCCTGGGAGGAGAGGATGTTGGTGGTGGTGCAAGGATGAGTAGTGGTGTAGGATGGGACTTAATGTTTGAGTTTTCAGGGTCAGGAGATTGGAGGCTTGATGAGAGGATCCACTGGGGGTGTTCTTTCAAGGATAGGGACAGTTTGGTTTGGCTCCTAACTCAGAAGAGGAAGAATGGACAAGATGATCGATAACCACTCAATGCCTCTTGCAGGCCTCTGAATCGTGATCAAGTGAACACAATGACCTTATTTTGAATGGGCCAATTTACTAGTTTCCTCAAAGCTGGAGGTTACAGAGGAAACTTTTAAGACTGGAGAGTAAACCCTACAGGAACTCACCTCCCTCACCCCATTTTCACCATAGTACTTAAAAAATGTTGTTTTTCTAGTTTTTTCAAATTACGGAAGTAAGTATAAACCTACAAACAATACCAGAGTAAATGGAGTAAAAATCAAAAATCCTTCTCCATTTCTCACTGCCCCCCTCAGTCTGATTCAGGGACTGTCCTTCACACGTGAATATACATGCCACACTTGTCATCTTTTAAATTTAGCATATGCAGTATACATCTTTCATGTCAATTCAACTTTTTTTAAACAAAAATATTCTATTTAAATGATTTACATAAATCATTACTCATATTTGCATAGTAGAGTTTAGCTACAAGAATTAAATAAAGCCAAACACTTGGCATAACTTATTATCATTCATTTATTATTATTACCCCACTTCATGAAATGTGCTCCTAATTCTTTGCAAGAAGGAGACACTTTTTTGGCTTTATCTCCAGGCAGTTTCTCTTATCCTTGAGGAGAAATAACATTGTGTTTCAGGTACGAAGTCAGGAAAGTTGCTCCCTGTTACGTCGAACTCAATTATTGTCTTTATTTCATCAGAAGAAAGTCTCTCTCTCTCTTTTTCCTTTGCCCTTCCTAGTATTGGGCCCATTGGGTATTTTGGAAACATCTACCAATTTCACTGACTCCTATGTGAAAGACACATTTATTTTTTGGCTCATGCTTCCTATTTCAATTAATCAAGCCACAAGTACTGTTGAACCTCAATTATATACTCACTGTGCTGGATGTTTGGAGGAAGCAGTGTAATACAAGACATGGTACTTGTCCTGAAGGAGCTTATAATCTAGTTAAGGAGAACAAATGGAGAGCAGCAAGGAATACAGAAGAGATTATGATTGTGTCACGCTTTGTGGGCTCTCTTTCAGAGGGGACTAAGTAATCTGCCAGGGAGGAGACCAACTCAAATGAAAGGTAGCCAAGTGATAAAAACTGAATGGAGAAGCCAGGGAGAAAAGATGGCAGACCATATACACCCGAGAGAGGCCTAGCTTTGATATGGTGATGATCAGAAAAAAATTGGTGGCCTTTGGATAAGGAAGTGTTAATGAGCAGACTTTGTTCCAGGGGAATGAACCTGGCAGGACTATTAGTCCAGGCAATGCTGAGAGGAAGAGGGGCACAGGCTGCTGAGG